GTGGTAGCATACTCCGATATGTTTAATCAGTGTTGAAGTTCTGTAGTCTCATTTTCCCGGAAAGGGCGCCGGCCCAGGGTTCTCTTTTACTATGTAAACATGTCCCCCGGTGCCAACTTGAAGGAGGCCGGCGGATTTTTTCCCTGATAAATATCGAGGTCGAAGGAGGCCGGCGGATTAAAATTTGAGGATGTCTCGGCGAAACGGCGGATTAAAATTTGAGGATGTCTCGAGCGAAACGCTTGTTTTTCAGAATTTGTTGAGGATGTCTCGAGCGAAACGCTGGTTTTGCAGAGTTGGGGATGTCTCGAGCGAAACGCGCTTGAGGCGAGCGAATTCCGAGGATGTCTCGACTAATTCGTTTGTTTTTGTACGATTTCCTTGAATTTTGGCAGGATGTCTCGAGCGAAATGCACGACCCCACCCTAGCACGACCATACCCCAGCACGACCACACCCCAGCACGACCAGACCCCAGCACGACCCCACCCCAGCACGACCCCACCCCAGCACGACCATACCCCAGCACGACCACACCCCAGCACGACCCGACCCCAGCACGACCCTACCCCAGCAAGACCACACCCCAGCACGACCACACCCCAGCACGACCTCACCACAGCACGACCACACCCCAGCACGACCACGCCCCAGCACGACCACGCCCCAGCACGACCACGCCCCACGACCACCCCCCAGCACGACCACCCCCCAGCACGACACACCCCCCAGCACGACCACACCCCAGCACGACCACTCCCCAGCACGACCACACCCCAGCACGACCACACCCCAGCACGACCACACCCAGTCGCACCCCCGTGGAATGTTTCGTGGCGTGTCTGGTTGAGTGGTTGCCTGTTCGTGGGGTGTCTCGTGGACTGTTTCACGGGGTGTCGCGTGGAATGTTTCGTGAGGTGTCTCGTGGAATGTTTCGTGAGGTGTCTCGTGGGATGTTTCGCGGGGTGTCTCGTGGGATGTTTCGTGGGATGTCGCCCAGTTGGGTATCGTGAAAACGTGACCATGCTGCACATGTCTTTATCCCTTTCCGGGTTCGTGGGTCCATCATGTTTTTTCAAAAGACCGAACTGCTTCAAACAATTCATGTTGCGGTTGGTAACGGGAATCACGAGGGCATTCAGTATTCAGCTCACACGCACGATGGTGATTGCTTCATCGTTGCCCGCAGTCTTGGTGCCCTGTGAAGCACCACGCTCGAAAGAACACGTCATGTCTTAGAACCTGATGTATTTGTTCTCGTAGCCGGCATTGCAAAATTCCGCGAATCGGTCCTTGCCCAAGCTGTACTATGCGTCTCGGACATCGGGTAACGTTACAGCGAAACCTGGGTCGTCTGCGCCAAAAATCTCTGGTGCCGCTGCGGCTGCCGCTGCAGCCACTGCTGGAAGAGAAGTGCTTTGCGGAACTCATCATGCGCACTGGAACCCGTTAGGCGAACAACGAAATGCAAATCCATGATAATATGTGAGGGTTTTTTTGTCCTCAAGACGGTTTGGAGCCCAGGGTTCTCTTTTAAGATTGTTTCCCCCGGCTTCGACGTGAAGGAGGCTGGCAAATATATTTTCACAAGAACAATGGGGTCGAAGAGGGCCGGCGAATTAATCAGTTGAGAATGCCCCGAGCGAAAAGCTGTGTTTTGAAATGTCCGATCGATGAAATACATGGCAAAATACGAATGTTCGTGTGTTGCGAATGTCTCAGTCGGTTGAGGATGTCTCGAGCGAGACGCTTGTTTTCACGCCTCCATGACGCCCAAGCATATGTCTAGCATGAGGATGTGTTGAGGATGTCTCGAGCGCAGCGCGTGGTTTCCCGTGTCCACGTCGCCCAGGCGCACGTCTAATTTGAGGATGTGTTGAGAAAATCCCGAACGAACCGTTCTTCTTTACTTGCCAAAGTCGCCCAATCGGATCTTTGTCCATGGAGATTTGTCCATGGAGATGTGCTGAGATGTCTCGAGCGAGACGTTTGCTTTGACGTGTCCAAGTCGCCCAGGCAGATGTCTAGCATGAGGAAGTGCTGCGAACGACTCAAGCGAAACGCTTGTTTTCACGCGCTCAGGTTGCCCAGGCGGATGTCTAGCATGAGCATGTGTTGAAGACGTCTCCAGCGAGACGCTTGTTTTCACGTGTCGAGATCGGGACGGCGGATGTCTAGCATGAGGATGTGGGCAAGATGTTTCTAGCGAAGCGCTTGCGTTCACGCGTACAGGCTGCCCATGCGGATGCATAACATGAATATGTGTTGAAGATGCCTCAAGCGAAACGTTTGTTTTCAAGTGTCCAGGCCGCCCAGGCGGATGTCTGACATGACGATGAATTGAGGATGTCTCGAACGAAACGCTTGTGTTCACGTCTCCATGTCACCAAATCGGATGTCTAACATGCGGACTCGTTGAGGATGTCTCGAGCGAACGGCTTGCCGCAATAGCGCATCGCCGCCAACCCCGCACGTCCGCCCCTGGTGCGCTAGCGCGCCCCCTGGCGCGTCCCCTGCAACGTTCTGGAGTGACGTGCCCTGGCACGTCCCCTAACACGCCATTCGGCGTGGCACGTTCCCGGGCTCGTCCTCTGTCGCGCTTCCTGGCTCGTCCCCAAGCGTTTCCCCTGCCTGTTCCGTGGCGCGCCCCTTGCAACGACACTTGGCATGACGTCATCTGGTCACCCCATGGCACGCACCTTGGCAAGTCGGCAAATCCCTGACACGTCCAGGGTACGTCCCCTGACGCGCCCCCTGGCGCATCCCCTATAGCGCCCCTGGCACATCCTGTGGCGCGTCCGTGATCCTTAATATATGCGGAGTTTTGGAAAAGAATCGGATCTTGAGGTTGAGTTGATTGAACGTCCCGCACGTTTCCACTGCAACTAGCTCTGGGGCAGCTACTGGGTTTGTTCTGCAGCTAGAGCTTAAGATCCACATCAATTCGGTCAGGACTTGGATGCTCAAGAGGACTCAGTCCATAATGCTTTAGAACACAATCACGGTATTAACAAGCCAGCACGGCACATCACAACACAGCCCCTAGCACGTTACATCAATATCGATACGCTCAGTATTGCAATTGCCCGTCGCCCAATCAGGTGTCTTGACAACGGTGCCATGCCTCAACTGTTTGACATTCCGTTCAAGCTTCGTAGATCGATCATGTTGGACTTGAGCCGACCCGTGACGGTCAACGATCAACCTGCACCGCTGGAATTCCTAAATGACGTTCTCTACGGGATCCATGGCAGATCCTGCCCACCCAGTTCGAACGCTATAAAGAATTCGCCATCTATACACATATATATATATACACATATATATACACATGTACAAGATAGGTATACCGATCGAAATGGCGGGCGCGTGAGACATCCTGGAAGGTTTCCAAGAGCTTCACGGTTGGACGGCGGCCCGTGCTCAAAGTGTGACTCTCGCCGAAACGTCGCGCGCATTGGCCTCAAGCAGCTTGGAAGAGCTGTGCTCAAACTGTGGCCCTCGCTTTGGCGCCGCGCACACTCGTCTTAGAGATTTGCGCAACACTGTTCACGAATGACCAGGTGACGACGCTGTGCGTTGCGCAGTGTTCCAGCCCTTTTCCTCCTTCCTCCTCCCCCCTCCCACCCAGAGAAAGAGGGGGCGACCACGAGCAACGTGGCCCCAGGAAGTTTACAGGCACGCCTGCGAAGCAGCTGGGGGTGTGGAGGCCCTTCCAGCGCTGTGGCAGGACACCATTTCTTCGGCCACGGCGTGGCGTGTCGCAGTCAACAAGTATTGCGATGCCACGTGATAGCGGCTAACTATGTGCTCATGAATGCTGCTCACGAGTGGGAGGCGGCCACCGTTCCGTACGTGTGGCGCTCGACTCGGCGCCGCGCGCAGTCGTCCTACAAGTCTACAAGGATCTCATGGACGGAAGGCGGCTCTTTTTCAAAATGCGGCCCTCGCCTTAGCGCCGCGCACATTCCTTGTATGAGTTTCCAACAATTCCAACGATGGCTAACGTACCAGAAACGGCGTTTCGGCATGATGTCGGAATTTCAGGGCGCAGCAGTCACGTTGATTCGAGGTGTTGAAGTCCCAGGAATAATTTTTGCCGCGACTCAGGATCGTCCAGACGCAACAGTGACGGTGGTTCGCGGTGTTGATGTCCCAATAGTGGCGTTCTGGCACAAGTCCGGAGTTTCAAACAGTTGTTTGCCAAAAGGGCAATTCCCTCATTGGAGATAAATTCTTGCAGGGGCCTATGGAGAGGTAACTTGGAGGGAGTGAGTCTAGCAATGTCGTTGATGAGTCTTGGGTTTACACTGGACGAACGTGTCATCCGCCCCATCCTGCTCTTCCTCCTCCTCCTCCGTGTCCCTGCCTCCGCTTCCCCCCACCCTGCCTGACTCACTCCCTCCCTCCCCCTCCTCCCTCCGTGCTCCTCTCTCTTCCTGAATCCGCCTGTTGGACGGCAGATCCGTCGAGTGGGAGCCTCCTTATCTGCTCGTGGTCATTCTCGTGGTCGTCATCCTCCCCCGCGTCGGGGAGCGCGAGGGTGCGAGTGTGCGTGCTTCTTGCAGCAACTCACCTTGAGTATAGCCCGCCACCGTCTTTAACGCTGAGTGGAATCTTCAACGCGTCGGAGGAAAATGTGCTTGTGTGCTTCTCGATCCGCTGATTGCAGCCCATCGGCGAGCCGAAGGAAGAAGTGTGTGAGGGTCACTGAGCAGATACAGACGCCGCACCCTCAAAGACAAGACACAGAGGGAGGGATGAGGAGGAGGACGACGACGACGAAGTGGACGACGAGCAGGGGGTGGTCTCGCCAGGTTGAGGCGCTAACGCGTCACGCCTCGGGCATTGCGAAACAGACCCGACAACGAGGGACTCCATCATTCCACTCCTCCTCCCCCCCGCACTCCTTCTGCTTCTCATGCGCTGCTCCCCCGCTCCTCCTCCTGCCTCCACTCCTCCTCCCTTTCCTCCTCCTCCTCCTCCTCTTCCTCCTCTCGAGTCCTTGAACTCGTCCATGGACCCGAAGGCCTCATTGATGGCTCCCTCGAGGCTGGCCGACGGCTTGCCACCGGTGCCCGTCGGCGCCATCTCCGGGCGCGGACAGGACGAGGGGGAGGACAAGGAGGCGGACAATTGGGACAATGAGGGCGATGGGGTGAGTAGGATTCTGAACAGGTAGGGCTTTGCTCCTCCTCTCGCACCGAAGGCTCCGCAGGTTCCAAAGAGCTGGTTAGCAAGAAGGGTCCAAGGAGGAGAGGGAAAGGAGGGAGAAGAGGGGAGGAAAGGGAGGGAGAGGAGGTTGGGGGAGGAATGAGGCAGAGCACAGAAGCACAGGAGCATGAAAACAGTCCCTGGTTGGCTGCGACATTCCCCAGTTGTCCTTGCATTTCTCAATTTGATCATGCGAGTGTGAGAGAGAGAGAGAGAGAGAAAGGAGGAATGGGGCTGAGGATAGGGAGGCGGAGAGGGAGAGGGAGGAGAGAAATGGAGGATGAGGGAAGTGGATAATGATGGTAGAGGATGAGGCGGATTAGAGAGGTCTCCGATCGAGCAGCACGGTCCGACGAAGCGCTGCCCTTGCAGCGACCGCATCGGTCACAAGCATTCGTTGTATACTACGGATCGGCAATATGTGAGTGTATCGAGCAAGACCGCACACCAGCTGCAACATCGGGGTGGGCGCGAAGTATATACCACCACCAATACCTGCCAGATTCTTCTGGCTTGGCACGGAAGGCATAACTGTACACCCATGCTAGGCTAAGGATTATTGCCCTGGTCAAGCTCGGTGTTGGTATATAGTTGGCGTGCCCCGAACATTCACTGGAATCGGTCCCGAGCAAAAGAACAAGGATTTACAACAACTGTCGCTGCACCTAAAAGCTGTGTTGCACCAACCATTTAGGGCGGACTACACGGAAGCATGACGCAACGTTGCCGTAATGCAAGCAATGGCGGCTCTCTAGGACCGCCGCAGCTCTGCACAGGCCAAAGGTGCCCAGCCACGCCCGGGAAGACGAGCACGACGATCGACTGGAGCAGCACAGAACAGCTACGGATGGCGCTAGACATTTGGGGCAAGCGGGGCGACGCTATCGAGACTGCAATCACGTCAAGATCTGCAACAGCAGAGGACCAGGAGGAGTCGCGTGCCACGGCTCAGATCACCAGGGACCCCTCCAACTCCTTCGTCGTGGTCGAACAAATGACCCCCAGCATCCGCGGGCCCCACGGCGCCGGAGGTGTCAACGTGGTCCCCTGCAGCAGCGGGCGCCTGAGCAGCTGAACGAAATGGGGGGACACATCGAGACTGAGGGCCGATATGCCCAGCTCAATCTTCGACAGGGTCAGGCTGTCCTCGGCCGGGTCCAGCAGCATCCTGAGGGAGCTGCCGTCCACACACTCCACCCTGGCGACGGCGCGGGCGCTAAAGCCGGCCACTTGCAACAGCTTCGTCTGCGTGAACTTGGGAGCCTTGGACCACAACCACGTCGCAAGGTCCACCTGTGCGGTCAGTTGGATGCTAAGGTTGTGGACCGTAAAATTGAACTCCGCAATCCAGATCGCCGAAGCTGAGTCGCAACGCAGGGATCAGTTGGAGGCGGCCGGGGATCCTGAACTGGATAAGCCCAAAGAAAATCGGCACATCGGGGCTGAATGACAACAAATTCGTACAACATCTATCCCCAGAGCTCTCCCACGGTCGAAACTGATCAATTGCTCGAGCCGCGTCCAACCGTGGCGGCGACCGGGCCCCTTTCTCCCCCCTGTCGGCTGGCCGAAACCAATGCTGGGCCAGCTCAGCCTCCCAGCTGGCTCCAAAAGATAGGTCGGTCACGTCCAGGGTATCAAGGCCGGTCGCGTACGGGGCGTTGATCTCCCAGTTGTCGCCCTGCATCTGCAGGGGGAAGATAGGGACGGCCTGGCAGGGTCTGAGGGCTGGGTCGACGACCGCCGCGCAGTCCCCGACGGTCTTTACGGACCGCGACCAGGCTCCGACACCGCCGGTCACCGCCGATACCAGGCTGCTGTTGAAAGAAGCCGCGGTCTTCTCGTTGCAGCCCAGGGAAATCGTTGCGAGGCAGGGATTGAGCCATATCCATCGCATGGGGAACTGACTTCCTGGGACCCCAGCTGGCGGTAGATATGGTCTGTACGTTTAAGCAGATTACATCATGTAATATATTTCCCCCCCAAGGGCCCGAATACATTAGTACCCACCGCCTGCCGAGGTCCCCCAGCCTCGCGCCTCCAGGCGGTGACAATGGATCCATCCCTGCCTCGCCATCGCGGCCAGGCAGCCTGCCAACAAGAGCCGCAACAAGGAGCCTGGCATGGCCGCCCGCACGCCTGCGGATCCCGCGTGGGCAGTCCCCAGCCAAAAAGCGGCTCGAGAACAGCACGGGCTCGACCGCACGAGCGTGGCTGTTCGCAGGATGGTCCTTTTGGAGAAAGTGGCCCGCTCGTCTGGGAGAGCCCTCCAGAGGCCTTCCAGGTGGGCGGGGGGGCCTGCCGTGTCTGCCCGCACGCGGCCTATGCGAAGCCCTGCGGGTTGGCGGTAAAATAGAAATGGCCCCCGACCCCCAGGCTTGCTGCACACATAACTTGATGCCGTGTGCTCACGCGTGCCCTCTCGCACACCCTCTTTAAGCCCTGCGGTTACGACTCGTTCCCGCTCAAGCTGTCCGCTCCGTCCCCCGGCAGCAAAAAAGGCGCGCCGGTCAACGTGATCCGCTTGTTGAGAACAACCATCGCTTTTACAACTCGGTGGTCCCAGAAACGGTGCGATGGCCACACCACATGGTGAGACGGCGGTGACTCGGGTTGGAGGAAACCGGGGGCTCTGAACTGAGAGATAATCGGTAGAGGAAGGGGGAAGGAAACAAATCCGCTCAAAATCGGTCCCCAGACCTCGCACGGGAACCATCTGATGGGGTTTTTCACCCAAAATCCGTTCTTGACGGTGCCAGGGCCCGAAAAAAGCTCCCGGAGGCCGAACAAAAACAGCAACCTGCTCGAACCTTGAACATCGAACGTTCTCAACCCTTTCTGGTCGCTGGCACCAGTGCTGGGCCACCTCAGACCCCCAGTCGGCTCCAAGACTCGGGGATTTGGAACCATATTTGCCCATTCACAAGGAATGCGAAAAAAAGAATAGGAATAGCTACCTGACGGTGTCAATGAGAAAACTACCTACCATTGGACTTCCTGACGTGCTGATCAGTCGGGCCCACTGAGAGCCTTAGGTGCAATCTCCGTGTAAGTCCCCAGGTGCGAACTCATGGTTGTTGAGGGACTGGCAACCATGACGCTCCTTCCTGAGCCCCGCTTGAAAGTTGGTGAAAACCCAGAAGCAGATCCAGACTCGAGTTACCGGAGGAACACAAGGGGCGAGGAAGAGGTGCCCAATACGGTTCAAATGCGGTCCGGATGCAGGAAAAACTGACCGCAGTGCCGCCGCCCAAGGCTCCCATGAACAGACATCGAGCATCACGCTGCGAGACGGCGGTGACTCGGGGTGGATGGATCGGCGGCGACCGAGGGGGGGCCTGAGAAGGAGAATGCCTCTTCAGAAGGCGGCGGGGCTTCTCAGAAGCGCTCTGGCCTTCTGAAACATGTTCTATGTCTTCGGGGGACTTCTCAGGAGGCCAGGAGGCTTCCGCGCCTTCTGAGAGGGCCCGCCCCCTCTCACTTCCTCCCCCTGGGCTTGCCGCCGATCCGTGCCGGGCTGCAAACTGCGCAACCGTCGCGGTTTTCGTGGGCTCCTGGGAGGTCCAGCGGAGCGATCTCCTATGCGTAGCAGAATTCATCCTCGCCCTCCCTGCGGGGCTGCGAGCTGTACTGTGCAACTGCCGTCGCCTTCGTGGGCGCCTGGGAGGTGCAGCGGAGTGGTGTCCTACGCGCATCTGAACTAGACCCCCTCCTAGGCTCGCAGACCGAATGGAGCTTCTGGACTCAGGCCCGTCTCCGAGCGTGCCCCGAGCGCCCGGGGGCACGTCCTCTGCGACCCCACTTACCCGTGATTGCTCGCATTCCTTACCGTTCTGTCGACTCAGTTCTGGAGCCTGAACGTAGCCCACAGAAGGCCGATCGGCGCATTAGCGCCGCCGTCGTGGAGCTATCGTCGGACCCTAGCTGATAGAATGGGCCTCGACATTTCGGGGGGCGAGGAAAACAGCAACTTGGTAAAGGAAGCGACTGCTTACACCCCCCCCAGACCACGCCGTCGCGCCGCCCGCGCCAGCATCGGCCGAAAAGGCCCCCCCCCACCTCCCCGGAGGGCGACCCCCCCTCGCCGCCGCCGCCGCCGCCGCCGCCTCCTCCTCCTCCTCCTCCTCCTCCTCCTCCTCCTCCTGCTCCCACGCATAGCCTTCTCCTCCTCATTCTCCTTCTCCTCCTCCTCCTCCTCCTCCTCCTCTCCTCATCTTTGTTCCTCCCCCTTCTCCTCCGTCTCCTCCTCCTCCTCCTCCTCTCCTCATCTTTTTCCTTCCCCTTTCTCCTCCTCTTCCTTCTCATCCTCCTTTTCCGCCATCTCCTTCCCCTCCTCGTGCCGCATCGACGATGCATCGGCAACATCGACGTGAAGCAAAACGGGATCCACGTCGAGGCACACCGCCGATGCATCGGCAATGCGGAACGATCCGGCGACCCCATCTACTCGGACCCCATCCGGGAGGCCTACAAGGGGGGCGATCAGAATGGGCGGGCCTTCGCAGAAGGCTCGGAAGACGTCCTGGCCGTCGGAAAAAAAATATACGAAGCCCCGCCGACTTCTGCGAAAGCCTGCTCCCTCTCACTTCCCCCAAAGGCGCGCCGCCGAACGGGGGGAACGATAGGGGGGACCTGCTGAGACGGGGAAATCGGCGATACATCGCCGATTGATCGACGATAGGCCCGCGACAACACAACCGCGCGTTCCTGGGCGGGGTGGGCTGCCGGGCCTCTATCGGCGATCAATGGGCGATCGGGGAAAGATGCGTCCACTCTTGAACCTATACTCCTACTTGCTCTACTTCGCTTCATCTGTTCCGTGTTGCCCTTGTTTGCGACACCACTGGCACATTCAGCAATGAAGAAAGTAGTTCTTTTAGCTGGCGAACGATCATGATTTCCAGCCCCTTGACACATCTCGATCGCGCACCAATGACCCCCAGTGGTTCACCGAAGGCGAGGTCGCCATAACAAAGACTTCAAATGTCAGTATTTCACACACAGGGCATTATGAGGCGGCACCGTCGCCAAGTATTAGCTTGCGGTAATGAAGAACTTGGCCGCACCCCGCCTGGCGATAGCGTTGCCCCCGATCCCCTTCCAGCTCGGGCGGCGGCCGGCCGCGGACAAGTCGGCGTTTTTCTTGGGACAGGGCGGGACAAGACGTGCATCCGTCGGACCCGGGGGCTGGCCCATGAGGGCGGCGCGCTGGTGCCGCAACCGCTCCCGTGCTTGCGGGCATTGATGCCTTCGGCAAGGTGCACGCCTCAGGCTCCAGCATCCTTGCACATCCACTAATGGTCGCCATGTGAGCAGACAGATTTAAAGGGGCCTGGGGGGACAGATGCGGGAGAGAAGCGAAGGGCGATCTCTCCCTCCTGCAGAGCGTCCTCTGCTTCCTCCTCCTCCTCCTCCTCCTCCTCCTCCTCCTCCTCCAGCTCCTCCTCCTCCCAAGACGGCCCACTGCCTTCTCGAACGCTCCTCCCGACTCCCCGTTAAAGCCGCCACACCACTATGAACACGCAACACTTCAGTGCCTGTTGTCCCCTCGCCTCCGTCCCGTCCTCGTCCGCCCCCCTACAAATCGATCCTCGACCCTCGATCCTCGACGACTGGATCTTCGATCCTCGTCCCTCGAACCTCGAACCTCCAAAACCTCGAACCTCGATCCTTCATCCTCGAACCTCGAATCTCAAATCTTCGATCCTACTAATCGAACCTCGAACCCCGACCCTCGACTCTTCAGCCTCGGTCCTCGAGTCTCCATCCTCTGGCACGGGGGCGGGGCGCCCGCCTCCAGCCAGAAGAAGTTGTGGTTGTAGTAGCCGCCCCCGCTGTTCCTCGGCGCGGGACTGGCGGCGCGGGGAGGAGAGGATCGAGGGTCGAGCATCGAGGAAGCGAGGGAGTCTCGAGGGAGGATCGAGGGTCGAGAGTCGAGGCCGCGAGGGAGACTCAAGGGAGGATCGAGGGTCGTGGCAGGATCGGAGGACCAAAAGGACCGAGGGTCGAACAAGAGCGAAACGAGCGAAGCGAATGCCGGAGTCGCGCGGGCTCCTCTGGTGTCCTGGAGGGCACCCCGGAGAAGTCCCTGCGCCCACCCCGTGGCTGCTTCATCCGACCGTCCGACCGACCGCCCGGCCCGCCCACCCCCCTTCCTGGGCGCCTTCCCCAGAGGGTGCCTGGTGGGTGTCCTGGACATGCCCTCGAGGTCGCCCTGGAAGTGAACGTTGATTCCGACCGTCCGACCGACCGCCAGGCCCCCACCCCTGGGGCCCAGGGGCCCAGGGCCCTCTCCCAGCGCCCAGGGCCCGGGCCCTCTCCCAGCGCCCCTAGAGATGTCCTGGCGATGTCCCGGAAGGCGCCCAAGGCGCCGCCCCCTGAAAGGCTATTCCGGCCGTCCGACCTGAAGCCCGGCGCACACCCGAAGTGTTCTGGGGGCGTCTTGGAAGTGTGTTGCAGCCCTCATGTGAGCGCTTGGCCATCTCTGTGATCCATCTTGGCGACCATAGATCAACCACAGACACATCATCACTGACAGACCTCTCCAGTGCTAGCAAAGAGTAGCACCTCGGCCATAACGGGTCGTCCAACACGCCTGGTTGTATGATCCTTGGCATGCGCGCCTCCTTGTACTGTCCAATGTGCGGGCGTCTAAATCTCTTGACAACCTCGCCGGGCACCGAATTCCCGCCCCAGGGCCTCTCTGCTTGATTCTGCGGGGGGAAATCGGGTCCCGATGGAAACGCGCCAAACACCCCCGGGGATCTCCCTGGGGCCCATTCTTCATCCTGAACATTTGTTTGACAACCCAGGGGCCCTGGATCGGCCTCCGGAAGCCGAGAACGGCGCCAAACCCTCGGGCGACCCGTCTCCCCCCTGCAGGGCCCGCTGTCGCCGTGGCGAGCTGATGGCCGGGAGCGCGGGAGCGACCCTTCGGTGGGCTAGCCTGGCCGATGGTCTCGGTCATGGAGCTTCTCAGAAAGCCCCACGTTAGGAAGCAACTCCTGAACGGTGTTTGCCAGAACAGTCCGCGGCTACTAAGCCCGACTAGTGGCCATCGAGCCAGATGAAGCCCAGGTCTAAGTAGA